ACAAAAGGCAACTTAGTAAGAGTTAACAATGCTTGAGGAAGTTCCAGCCAGAACAATTAGGCAAGAAAAAATAAATAAAATGCATGAAAACTGGAAAGTAAAATTACCTCTAATCACAGACAATATGCTCTTTTATGTAATATAACCCCAAAGATAGGATGTATAAACAATTATAAATGAATTCAGAAAAGAGCAGGCTACAAAGCCAACACACAAAAATCAGTTGTCCTTCTATATGTACCAACAAGCAACACGAAAACAATTTTATTTAAACTAGCATCAAAAAGAACATTTTGAAATGAACTCATCCGAAGAGGTAAAACACTTCAATAAAAACTATATAACACTGCCCATATTAATTAAAGTAGGCATAAACTGAAAACACATGTTCAATTGGAAGGTATCAATACTACCAAAGGTGATTCAATGCAATCTCTCAAAATGAATACTACCATTCAAACCAAGACAGTAAGATCTTTCCCAAAATACCAGTGAATTTTTTCATAAAAGGAAAACCTCATTCTAACTTTCTTAAGGGAACTCAAAGGACCCTGATTAGCAATAACAATCTTGAAATAACAGAACAAAGTCCAAAAGCGCACCCTTTCTCATTTTAAAATTTAATGCATACCTACAGTAAACTGTTTACTACTGACATAAAGACAGACCAAAGGGTCAGTCAGCCTGAAATGATTTTTGCTAGGGGTGGTAACATCGTTTCATGGACAAAAGATGGTCTTTTCAATAAATAGTCTGTGAAAACTGGATATCCACACCCAGAAAAATAGAGTTGAACCCTTATCTAATGCCTATATACAAAATTAACTCAAAATGGATCACATTCAAATGTAAGACCTAGAAATATGATTTCCTGTACATGCCACCAAAGGCATAGACAACAGGACAAAAAACAGACACACTGGACTCTATGAAAATTTTTCTTAATTTTGCATCAAAAGATATTATCAACAGAATGACAAAGGTCACCCACAGAATGGAAGAAAATATCTGGAAATCTTGTATCTGAAAGAGGTATATTGTAAAATGCAACAACAACAAAACCCCAACCACCCAGTTTAATGTGGGCCACGGGCTGGGCATAGTGGTGCATGCCTATAAACTCAGCACTCAGGAGGCTGAGACAGAAAGATCAACTCAAGGCCAGCTTGGGCTACAGTATAATAGGTTCAAGGGCTTTCTGTCACAGAAAAGGAAAAAAAAAAAGGTCAAGAACTTCAACAGCCATTTTGCCAAAATTGTACAAACTGTCAAAAAGTATAAGATGCTCAAAACCACAATCACTACAGAAACGTAAATCAATTACATGATACCACCTCTTACACACAGCATGATTACAATAGGAAGAAGGAAAAGAGAGGAGGTGTTGTTAAAAGATGTGTAAAAACTGAAACTTGTGGCAGAGGATTTAGCTCAGTGGCTCAAGTGCTTGCCTCGTAAGTACAAGGTAATGAACTTAATCCCTGGTACAAAAAAAAAAAAAAAAACCTGGAACTTCTGTAAGCGTAAAATGGAAATAAAACATGGAACCACCACTGTGGAAAATATTATGATTCCTCAAAAACGTAAAGGTAGATGGCCTGTAGCTGGGTAAAGTGGCTCATGCCTGTAATCCCAGCAACTGAGGCAGGAGGATCATTGTGAGTTCAAGACCAGCCTGGGCTACAAAGCGAGCTCAAGGCCAGCCTGAACTGCATAGAGACCCTGTCTCAAAAAAAGACCCAAGAAAAGGAAGGGGTGGCTGGGGATTTAGCTCAGCAGCATAAGCCCCTGCCTTGCAAGGGTAAAGTCATGAGTTTGATCACTGATAACCAAAAAAAAGAAAAATTTAAAAGTAGAACTGTCATGGATACAGCAATCCTCTACAGAACCAGAACTGAAGCAGGACCTCAAAGACCTATGTGTAAATTCATGTTTCAACTAACATTATTCACAGTATTTAAAAAGTGGAAGGAACTGAAGGGTCTGTTAAAGATAAAAAGTGGCATAGAAGATAACATCACAGAAACACAGAAGAGTAACACTCAAAGCAGCACATGTAACTACTGAGGCAGGAAGATCACAAGCTTGAGTTCGACTTAATGATTTAGCAAAACTCTGTCTCTAAAAAGTTCCAGGGACACAGCTCAGTGTTCACATTGTTTTGATCCTCAGTACTGTACAAAAGAAAACGAAAAACAACCTGTTTTTTCTTTTTAAACTTGTTTATTCTGTGTTATTTAGCCTTAAAAAGGAACAAAAGAAAAATCTCACACAAACTACGTGGAATCTCAAAAGCAGTACACGAAATAAGCCAGTCACAAGAATACAAATACTGCAATATTCCACTTATAGGAAGTACTTAAGAGCAGTCAATAACACGGACTGGAAAAAGTAGAACTGCTGCGATTAGTGGTATAGCTCAGTGATACGGCATGTACTGTGCATGCCCAACATAACGGTTTCACCTGCTAGCTGGAGAATACCAAAAAAAAGGAAAAAAGAAAGAATGTTAGCTGTCAGAAACTGGGAGTATGGGGGGATGACAGTTATGTGATGGGCATACTTTCAGTTTCACAAGATGAAAAGAATTCTGCAAAAAAGGAAAGGAAGAAATTACCATCATTTGCAGATGACAGATGATAGTCTACACAGAAGACTCCAAAAACTCCAATAAAAAGACTGCTAGATTTAATAAGCAAATTCAGTAGCCTCTCTATATACAAAGTCAACCCTCAAAATCAATAGCTTTCCTGTGCACAAATAAAAAACTTAACAGAAATTAGGGAAACAATACCTTCCACAGCAAGAGCCAAAAAAAAGTGAAATACTTGGGAATCAATCTAACAAGGGATGCAAAATACTTCTACATTGAAAATTACAGTATCCTGAAGTAGATGAAAAAGGGTATCAGAAAATGAAACGATATCCTTTGCTATTGGGCAGGAAAACCCAATATAGTAAAAATAGCCAGACTTCCAAAACTGTTACCCAGATTTAATGCAATTCCAATCAAAATTTCAATACCAAATCTCACAGAAATTAGAAAAAATTATTGCAACACTCATCTGGAACCAAAGAGATCTAGAATAGCAAAGGCAATTCTGGGCAACAAAGGCAAGACAAGAAACACCATAATCCTGACTGAAATTATAGTATAAAGCTACTATGATTAAAAAAAGAAAGACAGAAAAAGAAAAGAACCAGGGTGGTATTGGCAAAAAAAAAAAAAAAAAAAAAAAATCTAAAGATCAACAGAACACATTAGAAGCCACAGAAACAACTCCAGACATACTAAGCTACATTACCTTTGACAAAGGTGCCAAATACTCACTGGAAGAAAAATAGTCTCTTTAATAAATGGTGCTGGAAAAACTGATTCTGTACATGCCAAAAATTAAAATTAGATCCATATCTTTCGCCATGTACTAAATCAAATTTGGAATGGACCAAAGATCTAAATATTAAACAGAAACATTAAATCTGCTGGAAGATAGAGTAGTTAAAGCTCTGGAAGACACTGGTGTAAGCAAAGACTATGAATAAAACCCTTACCACATAGAAACTACAACAAAGAATCAACAACTGGGATCTCATCATACTAAAAAGCATGCGAAACCACCAACAGAGTGAACAGACAATCCACAATGTGGGAAAAATTTTTGCCAGCTATTCTACAAAGCACTACCATCAAGAATACATAAAGAACTAAAAAAAGTTGGACCTCCCAAATTTAAAGACCCAATCCAAAAATGGGCATCTGAGATGAAAACATACTTCTCAGATGACAAAATACAAATGGTAAAAAAAACATGAAAAAATGTTCAACACCACAGGTGACTCAGGAGATACAAATTAAAACAACACTAAGATTCCATGTCACTTCGAAAGGATGGCTATTATCAAGAAGTCAACCAATCACAAATGCTAGAGGGACTGTGAGGAAAAAGGGACCTTTGTCACTGTTGATAGGAGCATAGACTGGTGAAACCACTGTGGAAACCAGTGTGATTTCTCAAAAAATCATGATTCCATTTGACCCAGCCATTTCCCTTGTGGGTATTTTCCCAAAAGAATTAAGCATCATACCACAGTGAAATATGCACTACAGTTTGCAATAGCCAAATCATAGAAACCACCCAAGTGCCAATCAACTGGTGAATGGATGAAATAATTTTTAATAATGGAGTACTACTCTGCCATAAAGAAGGATGCATTTGAAACATTTCTAGAAAAATGGATGGATCCTGAGTTCCTACTTATATGTCAAAAAGATCAGATACATGTATAAATACCACATTGTTTTTCTGGTGTGAGTAACCAGAAGTGTAAATAAGGACCAAAAATTTATAATACATACTGTGAAATCGGAGGAAATATTGAAATCGTGGGTAAGGTGAGCAAGGGAGAGGAGAGGGGATAAGAAGGGAAAAGTATATAAAAAAAGAAAGAAAAAAAGGAACACATGCAAACAAAGCTTTGTAAATGGAGAGACGAGAAGGGGTTGCAGGGAGAGTAGAGGAATGGGGAAAAAAACAAGTTATATCGTGTACAGGTACAAATTCTCTACAAGGAATGTGATCACTATGTATATCTAAAATGAACCAATAAAATCTAATTAAAAAAAGAAAAATCATAAAAGATGGAAAGGAAAAAATCACAACAGATATAAAGAAAAAAGAATTCTGGGGGGGGCAAAAAAAAAGAATTCTGGAGATGGATGGTAGTGACAGCTGCATAAAATCTCAAATATACTTAATACCATTAAAGTACATATTGAAACATGATGATGTTAGACTATGTGTATTTCACCATAAAAAATGGAACCCTCAAATATATAAAATAACTTTCACATGACATTTCAGTTATGATTATCAATCATTTTTCCTATACACTTAAAAATTGGCATAAATATCCCAATTTTATAGTTCTAATCAATAGCTGAAGTCTTCATTGTACTCACTCTCTTGGCCAGGAAAATCTGATCTTTTTCTAACACTTACCTAAACTGGTGGGCTTGATGAGAACATCAAGGACATCATAAAAAGGCAGGTTTTTTAACTGCACATCAGGATGGACAGGAGGAATTGGAGGAGATGGTTGCTGCATCTCAAAAGCGGGCTTAGTATCTTGAAGTAGCACAGAACCAACAGGAGAGGATGGTGAGTGAGATGAAACTGAAGTGGAAGGCAACGAACGGATCCCAGCCACAGCCAAGTCTGGTTCTACAGGTGATGAGCTACCATCCAAACCGAAAACTGATGATTTGATTGTAGATAAATCAGAAAGCCCTTCAAGAGTCCGTGGGTATCGGCGTCTATATAATTCTCGGATTTTAATCTGAACCACAGGGCTGCAGCCACTCTTCAACAAATGCAGGGCCCTCATCAGGAGGTCATGCTTGCGTCCACTTTTATTCCTTCCAGCAAAGCCTAGTAACACTTGTAGTTCAGAAACTCTAAAACTAGAAACCATATTCTAAAAGGAAAGGGGGGGAAAAAGCCAACAGTCATCTTTAAGTATATAAAAATCCTCTCTAAAATACACAAAACTTGATTTTTCCTGTAATTTACCAAATGGCATACACACTATTAACCAGCATCTTCACATACCACTTAGAATTGTTAATATTCATAGTCATCCCCCCACAAAATTACATTCAAGTTATGATGTTAAATTGTATTTTATTGTACTCTTAATTTTAGTAATGTACACAGTCTACTGATTTCTAGTAACCACTTCATTATGTGATTATGTTCTCGTGTAAATCCTTTTTCTGATTATGAACTCTATAGCCAATTCTTAGAATGTTCCTTTCCAAAATAAGCCTTCCCAGTACACAATATAATGTTTATTACAAAATACCAATTAACCCAGCAAAAAAATTAGATTTTTTGCAGTTACCTGTGTAATTTCTGGTGCTTAATAAATCTATCAAATCAATTCAGAATTGTAATCTACAATTTCTTACACCAACTCAAACATAAGAAACAGAAAAGTATGAAAACAAAAACATTTTAAAACATAAAGCTAGAAATCATTTATCGAGCAGTCAAAATTGTTAAGTGATTAAAATTCTTAGCTGGATATTCAAATGGGAAGAAAATCTCCCCAAAAGCATTGCAATGGGCAGCTATAAACCATAAAGAACAAGATTACCATCCATACTACCCTAATGACTTGCTCTTAGGTATAAAAGTATAAGCACTACCTGTTTCACACCTCACCTTCTACTTATTCAACAAAAATCTAATGAATACATTAAATCATTTGTGGCTCCATGATTACCCAGCAACATGATTTTCAGTTAATTTTCAATTTAGAGGTAAACCACAAGGATGAAGTTAACCTATACCACACATGCACCACACCTGGTGAGAGACTTCAGTAAGCTTAACCTGGTCCTATTAGAAACCTACCCATCCTTGTCAACAAAACATGCTCCTAAGCCTGGAAGAATGTATCTTATACCCTTGAATAAAGAGAGAACAGTGTATAGAAACAGAAATACTGAAATAAAAAGCTTAAAATTATAAAATGCATAATCACTGGATTCTAAAAAGCAGATGGGACAGTTCACACTGTAAAATAATTCAAAGATAAAGTACTGCTAGGACACAGTCGAAGACAGATGTTGAGAAAGTCAACTGGCCCCTCTGAAAAACTTCGAAACAGTATCAGTAGTTGCAGGTGAAGCCCTAGCACCAAGATTTAGGACCCTGGAAGTCATTTCATCTCTCTGGTCACTGGTGTATATTTTAAAAAAACAGGCCAATCACAATGGTACAGGCCTGTAATCCCAGCACTTGAGGGTTAGTTGAGGCCAGCCTGATTACACAATAAGTTCAAGGTCAGACTGAACTATATAGCAACACTGTCTAAAAAAGCCTAAATAAACAATAACACAATTACAAAAAAGTATTTTCCTTTATTTAGCACTTAAATCTCTAAGGTGCTAGTTAAAGATCCATGGACATGTTTCCCCAGAAAACTTAACTGAATCTCAGTTCTTCTTAAAGTGATAGCTAAGTTTTCAGACCTGGTTTCAGATCCTTCCCTCAGCGAGTGGATATGGTTTCGGTGGGGACGCTTGTTAAAGAGTCCTCACTGGGAGGCTGGGGATTTAGCTCAGCAGCATAAGTACCTGCCTTGCAACAGGCGGTCGTGAGTTCAATCCCCAGTACCGATGAAAAAATGAAAAAGACAAAAAAAAAAAAAAAAAAGAGTCCTCACTGGGGAAAGATTAGCTATATGTGTGAACACTGTACTAGCAAGAATGACTTCAGATATTTTTCTCTATCAACTTCTGATGTCTCTATCTGTAGCCTAACTTTATTTTTAAAAGCAGGGTATCTCCCACTACATGCTGCTACCTCCCAAAGACTGGCTTCCAATACTTTAGTTACGACTAACATGCACTTTACACAGAGGAATTTCTCTATAAATGTTAGTATGATTAACATTTTAAAGCTACACTGATCTGGGAGTATAGCTCATTGTAGAGTACTTGCCTAGCATGCTCAAGGCCCTGGATTACATCATCTGCACCTCAATAAGAAAGAAAGAAAGCCAAGAAAGAAAGAGAGAAAATCAATTCTAAAATATATAAAGCTAGTGCTTAATTTATCAAATTTACATAAACACTTAAAAATTGTAAACTAGAATACTATATAATAGAAACATTACACCCATGAAGAAAAGTGAAGGCACTACACATTTAGTGCCTTCAGCAGGAAAGTATGAGAGTTACATGTAATCATCAATAAATAAAAATATTTCCTTGAGATTGGTATTCCATTTTTAAGCATGATATGCAGTAATAAAACTTAGCATGTTATTTGGGGAAATTCCATTATATTAGAAATGATAGTAAATACAAATTTTACAGATTCCTTCATCTACTATGATGTATAATATAAGGGCACAGGAGGCTACTGAAGAAAACTGACAAATCATATTACTAATATTGTGTATTTCAGCTATAATACTGAAGTAATCTACATCTTCATTTTTAAATAGATATTTTAAAAGTCCATAACATTAACATAGTTATGTCAAAGGTGCAACTATGATAATGTCAGAAGGGAAATTACATGGCTAAACTTAGGGGCCCACATGTCTACAGTCCAAGCTGCTGAAGTAGAGAATTACTTGAATCCAGGACATTCAAAACCAGCCTGGGCAACACAGACAAGATTCCATCTCAAAAACATACACAGATAAATAAAGAGAAACTGTGACAAGCCATAAAGGGTCATGGTTTATGTAGGTACCCCAGGCCTCATACATTTGCATTGTGCATTTGTGACTGGTTCACTGATGGTGTCAGTGCTACACCCAGCTAGGGGTGGAGCCAGCATATAATGTAATGGCAGGAAGAAGCTGTCTCTCTCTTGCGGATTTCTGCCTTGCTGTTTGCAGCCGCCATGAACTGCCATGAACTGCCATGAACTGCCATGAACTGCCATGAACTGCCATGAACTGCCATGAACTGCCATGAACTGCGGCCCCGCTACACCACCCTGCCTTGGAGCTCAGAATATGGACTGAAACCTCCAAAAACTGTAAGAAATAAACCTTTCCTTTCTCAACTTTGGGCATCAGGTATTTTGTTTCAGCAATGAGTAAAAAGTAACTAAGACATAAATATAACTCAACTCTAAAAAATATCCTTCTAAGAGATCCTAGGGAGGGAGCTGGAGATTTAGCTCAGCGGCATAAGCGCCTGCCTTGCAAGCAGGTGGTCGTGAGTTCAATCCCCGGTACCGATAAAAAGGAAAAAGAAAAAAAAAAAAAAAAAAAGAAGAGATCCTAGGGAGGGGACCCCAAGTCCTGGTTTATACTCTTGGCAAAATCATGTATCCCCTAAAATTAAGTCTCCTATTTAAGGAATGTTAAATGAATCTCTTCTTCACAATACAATGATTACAGACTAAAGAAATCAAAATTAAAAGTGAACTACAAAGACACACAATAAAGAATGATCTACATTTCAAAATATATAAAATAAACCAAAGTTTTGGGGAACATTTCTCTAAATACTTCTACTATTGCACATAAAATTTTAAACCAACAAACAAAAACGGAACAAAATCAATCAGAAAGGCAGGCTAATTAAAGGATTAAGAAAAAAACATTAATTAGAAAGCAAAATGCAGTCTGTAAAATCAGGCCTCCCCTCCAAAAATATGTAGTCCTAAGAATGAGAAAAGGAGCACAAAAACTACAAATACTATCCAAGTTCTTTGAGACCAGTATATGCAACTATGTACTAATAACACAAAGATACAAAACAGTGATTTCCTCAAAAATTATTCCAATTCATTCAGAAAGTAGTATCTTGCCACCCCTGCTCCAATCAAAAACACTTCCCCCAGACGAGTTTCAGGAATAAATATCACCAAAGTTCCAAGAAGAAAAGATGGAACTGGTCCCCAAATTGTTCAACACAATGTAAATCCAAGGGTCAAACACATATTTGAAGGAGGAAAAAAAAAATGTTGAACACAAATTTTTTAAAATATGCAAATCATTGATATTTTAATTTTAGGCAGAGTCCAATCACTCAGTTAAATTTTTAGGCAAAACCTGATGAAACAGTGGGACAGTAAGGAATCTGCTTGTTATGGTTTGGGACCTTAAAATGTCCTCCAAAGACCATGTGGTAAAGACGGAGTCATCATCCTGTAGCACTAATGAGAAGGAAGGTGATGGAATTGTCAGTAGATGGGGGACTATAGGAAAGAAGTTAACTCTCATTGGGGGCAGGCCCCTAAAGAAAATACTGTAACCCCAATCCCTTTCTTTCCTTTCCTGCCACCAAGGTGTGAGCAGTTTTCCAACAGACATTATCTATCATGACATCCTGCCTCATTACAAGCCCAAATAATCTTAGATCAAAACCCTTCAAATATATGAGCCAATATAAATCCTCCCTCCTTATAAGTGAAGCTGATAAATCATACTATGAATATCCACTATTCCAGCTGCAATATTAAAATACCCTACATAATTAATAAACCAATATTAGGACATCAATATTTCCTGGGAATGCAGACTTAAAAGTTCTCAATGTACCCAAATCAATTTAATCTATCAATATAAGATCTGAGGAAAGTACTTGCTAAAGACAATCTCTATCTATGGTATGGGTGTAGCTCAGTGGCAGTGTTTACCAAGCACACACATGTCTGCACACACACAAAAAAGACAACCTTTATGCATATAGCCACAAAGCACTGAATATTTATGTACAAAATTATACAATATATATTTCCTTTCAATTGATCTGTGGTTAGCAGGTTGAACATACAATGAAAAGACTGAAGTTGATAGCTATAGTGAAGTTGGATATTGAGTACATGAACAATTTTCTATCCTTGTAAATCTTAAGAATGTTTCCATAATTAAATATTTGCCTAAACAGGGGAAACTGGGTGCAAGGCATGTAAAGACCTCAATCTTACCTTCCAAACTTTTTTATAAATCTAAACATATTCTAAATTTAAATGAGCAAAAAGTATTTGTTCCAAGTGAGAGAAAAAATATTGTGGTTTTAAATCTATTTCCCATAAAAAGAAGGCAGGCACTTTGGGGAAATGGCTCGTTGTAGGTCTCAGGTAGAAAATGTAGGAGATGAATCTGGAACATTTTATCATACCAGAAAACAAAAAAGTTATCTTAACCAGTAGGTCTTTTCAGAAAGATATCAGAAAATATCTAGGATAGTATCCTAATTAGCCCAAGATGAGACAATTCAAACAACAAAAAGAACAATTACCACTGTAAATTTAAGCACTACACACGTAATAAAATTTATTCACAATGACACTTTAAAAATCTTAATGATCTCCCTCACAGGATGTTAGGGAAACAACACATTGTTCTGAAAAACGGAGACATACAAATGAATTTCTTGGTTCAAAAAGAAAGGCCATGTGATCATCTAGATAAATGCTACAGGGCGTTTGATAAAATTTTATTCCTGATTTTAAAAAATCAAACCAGAATAGATGGGACAGAAGGAAACTTGGTTCACATGGTATCAGAAATTAATAGCAAATAACCTATTAATCATGAAACATTAGATCATAAAGTTGCATTGTTTTGTCATTGAACATCACTCCAAAGATTCCAATAAAGCCATAAAGTTTTTAAATTTACTATTTATAAACAGCAGGACTTAGCCGGGTGTAGTGGTGCACTCCTGTAATCCCAGCACTAGGGAGGCGGAGGCAGGAGGATCACTGCATCAAGACCTGTCTGAGCTACAAAGTGAGCCCAAGGCCAACCTGAATCACACAGGGAGACCCTGTCTCAAAAAGACCAAAAACAAAAAACAAACAAACAAAAACACAACAGGACTCTAACAGTGAAGTACAGACAATCCACTGAAAAATTAGAATCAATAGTATTAAACCAACAAAAACCTGTTAAAGATTTATATATCGAATAGATGTTCAAATGCCTGAGAAAAAAGTATTTAGAAAAAACTCTAAGTAGCATAAATACATAAAATACAAAAAAATAAATCTCAAAATTTCCCCAACATTATATAAAAAAAAACCCACCAGATGACAAAGCAGCCATGCGCACATTACTAAACCATGTTACCAGGTAAAAATACTCCCTACTGAAAAGATGCTAATCCTTTCCAAGTTATAAAAACAACAAAAATCCAGCAAATAACTAATGAGTTGATGGAGAATTTAACAGACCCAAATTAGAATAACCAAATAAAATGTACAGTATGACAATTGGTGATGAATGAATATAAACAAAGTAGAAAATGAAGAGGTAGAAAACTGGGAATTTTAAAGGCAAAGACCTCACTGAGAAGGTAATCAAGTAACTGTAGGAAGAGAAAAGCACCCAACAGGTATCTAAGGAAAAGCACTCAAAAACACTGGACACAGCAGATGCAAAAGTTCCCAGGAAAAAGCAGGCCTGTCACAGTGGAAAAAAATGCAGTATCACTGCTGACAGACAAAAATCTCAATCACTGCTGCAACAAAGTATGTAAAAAAAATCAATATTAAGGTATCAGAATTACAAGGATGCAAGGTGTAGTGGCACATACCAAGAGTGGGTGTGGCAGGAGGATCAGTGAGTTTGAGGTCAGCTTGGGCTACATAGTGAATTCAAGGCCAGCCTGGACGACAGAGATCACATCCCAAAATACAACACCCCCCCCCCCAAGCCATAGTGGTAAAGCCTGCCTTACAAATATAAAGCCAGGGGGGGTTTGATCAACCAAAAAAAAACTGGGAAAAGAAAATGACAAACTAGAAATGGAGTTACGCTAAACACCATAAAAACTATTATCAAATTTGTGAGGTCATGAAGAATGAATAGCATAAAATAAAATGGAATAAAATTTCTGTAAATATATTAATAATCCCAAGATATTAAAAAATGAAACTTTCCATTAAAAACATGATCAGGGGGTATCACTACAGAAATTGTACATATGAAAAAGATAACACAGAAACACAAAGAATAGTTCTACATTAATAAACTTAGCAATTTAGATGAAATTCCCTGAAAAATTACATACCAGAATTCATTCAGCAGAAACTAATTTCCCTTTCTAGCTAGGCAAGATGGAACACAGCTGTAACCCAATTACACAGGAAGCATAGACAGGAGGATCACAAATTTGAGGCAGCCTGAGACATTCAGAGACCCTGTCTCTAAAATATAAAAGGGCTAGAGAAATAGTTCAATGCTAGAGTGCTTTTCTGGCACACACAAATGCCATGGATTCCATCCTCAGTACCATGGATTCCATCCTCAGTACCACAGAAAAGGAAAAAAAAAAATTGTAACACCTAAATAAGGAAACTAATTTTTAAATTCCATAATTTAAAAACTAAAATCAATGTATTAAGATTATTTGGACAAATTCTATAGCTAATTATGATTCTTAAAAATGCTCAGAAAAAATAAAACTTCAACTTATTGAATATCAACAAGAAAAAATAAAGTTCACATTATACTTAATGGTGAAATGAATGCATTGCCCCTAAATCTGATATGAAGTATACATTTACCACTCATTCAACATGACTCCAGCTAGCAGAAAAAGACAAAAGGAAATAAAAGACCTGATAGGTTGTAAATGGGAAAAAACCTGTATCTACAGGTGAGTAACTGTACAAAATGCCAAAGAATCTGCAAAATAATTTCTACAACTAGTAAGTGAATTCAGCAAGGTCATCACTTATAAAATCGACACACAACACATTAGATTTTTATAAACAGAGAACATGTGTGAAAACAAGTTAAAAACAGTTCCACTTAAAAATCACCCTGAAGAAAATTAAAATATTGCACCTAAGTTAAAAAAAATCTAAAAAACAAATACAAGATGTATATATTCAATACAACAAAAGACTAATGAAAGAAATTGTTCATGGATTGGAAGATGTAACATGAGAAATATATTAATGTTCCCCAATCTGATATATTTTCATAAATTTAATACAATATATTCAAATCTAAGGAAGACATCTTGTAGATAAATTTTTTAAAAATTTGTTTTATACAGAAAAGCAAAAAGCTAGAAAAGACACAGTAACTTTTGAAAAGAAACAGACAACCACCAATACAAGTAGAAAAAAATTATGCAGCATGCCTAAGGCCTTTAGTATGTGATGTCTAATACCATTTGCCATTAAGGGAATACAATCACAAATCCCCAGCAAATAGGCACACAAACACAAAACAAAAACAAACAAACAAAACAATGAGAGATGAATCAGTGTATCCCATTTTAAAAATTAACTACAGTAATTAAGACTGTTTTATTAGTGGAAAGCCTGATATACAGATAGCCTTGTGGAACATAAACAGACCTATATAAATATCCCGAATAATTTTTAAGTATAAAAAGGTTAAAAGACAGCCCTTCAACAAATAGTGACGCAACTGGAGATCCATAAATTTAAAATATGTATGTACACACACACATACACACTCTCTAAGTGTCTCACACACCTTGTACCAAATGAATCACAGATAAACACAAAACTGTAAAACTTTTAAAAAAAGAACAAGAAAATCTTCAGGATTCAGACAGTTCTTAAATATTACACTGAATGTTTCTTAAGAGAAAAAATGACATTGGATTTTCATCAAAATAAAACAGGGATAGCTAAAGACTTCTTAAGAATGAAACGACTCAAAATATTTGCAAGCTATATAGCTGACAATATGGCTAGAATTATCAAAACCAACATGAAAAATAAAAAGAACAATCTAATTACTAAAAAGAGAAAGCATATATAGAGATACTTTATCACCAGAAATATATAGATGGCAAATAAGCACATGAAAAGGTTTAACATCATTAGCCATTAGGGAATCACAAATTAAAACCTCACTGTTATATCACTGGATACCTACCAGAAAGGCTAAAATGAAAAACACTGATAACGCCAAATGGTGGCTAAGATGCAGAGAAACTGGACCGCTCCATATATTGCTGGTAGGGATGTAAAATGGAACAGCAACTCTGGAAAAGAGTTTAGCAAGTTCTTTAAAAACTACACATGTAATAATCATAAGACCCAGTAACTGAATTCCTGAGCATTTATCCCAGAGAAATGAAAAACTTACATTCACAGAAAACTTACATGCAAACTTTAGTAAAACTTTTATTCATAACAGCCAAAGAATTATAAATCCCAACTGTCCTTTAACAAATGAATGGTTAAACTGTAATGAGTTCATACCACAAAATACATGTAACAGTCAGGGCTAAAAAATGAACTCAAGACCAGCCTAAACTACATAGTGAGACCCTGTCTCAAAAAGATAACAACAAAAAAAATTAAAATTAAAATAAAGAGTAATAAATGAACAATATAACAAGTCTAATTTCTGGACATATATAGTAATTTTCGAACCAACAACTGGAAAACATACATTCTCTTCACATACAAACAAAAATTACACAAACTGACCAGAAAGTCTAAACGAATTCTGAAGAACTGGTTTCTTGCAAACTGTTGCCTAACCACAATTCAATTACAAATCAATAACCAAATTAATTTAGGAAACTCTTACATACTTCAAAAAGTATTTTTAAGAGATTTCAATGGGAAACACAAAATACAAGTGAAAATAATACACATCAATACTTGTGTGATATAGAGCTATATAAAGATATTCATAGTCTTAAATGCCTATATTAAAAACTAATGATAGGCATCCAACTTAAGAAAAATGAACAGGAAAAATCCAAAAGTGTAAGACATGAGCAGAAATTAATAAAATGGGAAAATGATACATTAAAGGGGATAAAATGTAAAAACTTAGTTACCTGAAAAGTCTTTAAAAACTGGCAAATTTTTAGCTTAAAATAATCAAAGACTAAAGAAGGAAGATGTTTCAAAACTAGATAAAGTGGATATTATTTACGAGCACACAAAAGTAGAGGTCAACTTAAAGCTGTATATTCAACAATGTGGTTTTAAAATAGTCATATGAGCCGGGCGTGATGGCTCACGCCTGTAATCCCAGCACTCAGGAGGCTGAGGCAGGAGGATCATTTCGAGTTCAAGACCAGCCTGGGATACAAAGTGAGCTCAAGGCCAGCCTGAACTGCATAGCGAAACCCTGTCTCAAAAAAAGACAAAAAAAAAAAAAAAAAAAGAATTGATCCTTTGAAAGATTAAATAACTGGATCAGTGATTACAAGGCATCTTTCAAGAAAATGTATCAGTAACAATACCACAGGCCAGTTCTGTCAAACTTTTAATGAAAAGGTCATTGTGGGCAGAGGATGTAGCTCAGAAGTACAGCACCTGCCTAACATGCACAGCAGCCAGGGTTCAATTTATGATGAGTGCGGGGGGAAGGGGTCATACTAATGTCACACTAACTTTTTCTTTTTTTTTTTTTTGTCTTTTTCATTTTTATCGGTACCAGGGATCGATCGAACTCACGACTGCCTGCTTCACACTAACTTTTTCAATAAAAAAAGTTTTGCTTTTGTTTTTCTGATTAGAAGGCAATATTATTCATTATTAGAGTAAAAAAAATCCTAAATTAAACCCCTTCAAATTGAGTATAATATGAAAAAGGACACATAAATTGGGAGTTGAATTTATAATTATAATACAAGGTTGGTATGAGAAAAACAACCAGTGAAATTCACTATGTTGACAAATTACAGATGAAAAATATATGATCTCAAGATACAGGAAAATCTTTTGATGAAATTCAATATCCATTCACGATTTGTTTTTTAAAAAATGGACAAACTAAGGAACATCCTTAATCTAAAGATTTTGTACAATAGACCTACAGGAAGCATCATACTTAACTGAAATTTTGAAAGCATTCCTTTTAAAATCAGGAACAAGATCAGGATGCCCCCATTACAGCTTCTAGTCAATACTGTACTGGAGATCCTAGCCAGCACATTTGGGGTGGGGGGGATGTTAAGAATCAGAAAAGAGAAAAAAAAGAGATCATTATTCATAGAGAGGATAGTCTGCATAAAGAAATTCAAAAGGAATTCATAGATAATTTATCACAATTAAGAGTATAACAAGGCTGTTACACAGAACTGAACTGCACTTATGTACACAGCAAGGTAGAAAATGTAATTATTGAGAAACATTTAAGACCTATTATAAAGTGAGTAGGAAAAAATATTTGCAAAAGTTTAACTGAAAATTAGGAAACTTTCTTGAAAGATGTCTTAAAAGACATAAAGAGACTGCAATGTTCAAGGTTAAAAAAATAAAATACTATTCTCTCCAAACTAATTTACAGATCATGTGCATGTCCTATAAACCTCAGCATCACAGGCATGGGGGAGAGGGCTGGGAGGGATTTGAAAAGATGTTTCTAAAATTATGTGGAACAGCAAATAGCCAAAACATTCCTTGAAGAAAGCCAGAGGACTTTCATTCTTTGTCCCTCAACAATTTAGTACACCATTTGAAACCAACCCTCCCTGTGAGAACTTAACAACTGACCACAATTTGTTTGAAGCACTACAAAGGTAGCAAAGATCTGAGAAAGGAAGACTCTGGAAAGAATGGAAGCCTAGAAAGTCAAATCTCTGGAAACTGTTTTTCCTCTAAAGATATTTGCTAATGGGAAAAATACAATGGAAGGGGTGGGGATTTAGCTCAGTGGCATAAGCGCCTGCCTTGCAAGCAGGCAGTTGTGAGTTCAATCGCTGGTACCGATAAAAAGGAAAAAGACAAAAAATATATATATATATACAATGGAAATACTGAGAAATCGATCAGAAATTTTAAGGGTCTCATGGAGGAAGAAAACCAAAACAATTTAACAAAAGAACGTATACAAATGGTCAAAAAACCAAAAGAGAACAAGCTATACACAAGTTATCAGAGAAAAACTACAAAACCATAATGAGAGACTATTTTACAGAAACATAAAATATTCAGAAAACAGTAGGTCTTGAACAAAAAAATATAGAATTTACATTACCCAGGAACCTACTTTTTTTTTTTTTTTTTTTTTTTGGTCTTTTTCCTTTTTTATCGGTACCGGGCATCGAACTCACGACTGCCTGCTTGCAAGGCAGGCGCTTATGCCGCTGAGCTAAATCCCCAGCCCCTTTTTTTCTTTTTTTGTTTTTGTTTTTGTCAGGAACCTACTTCTACGTATCTACTCAAGAGAACTGAAAACATGTATCTACACAAAATTTGTACATATTTAGACTATATAAAACATGGAAACAAATGTCCATCAATTTGAGTAAATAAATGTAATATATTCACAAAATGGGATATTTTCAGTCAAAAATGGAAATGAACTGAAACATGCTATACAATTCGGATGAACTTTGAAAAAACATGGTAAGTGAATGAAGTCAGACTTGTACAAAAAGGCCACCTTATGTGACTCCATTTTTTATGAAACGTACAGAACAGATGAATCTGTAAGACAGAAAATAAATTATTGTATGCTAAGAAAGAGAAGTAAGGGATTGACAGATTTTTTTTTTTAATGAGAAAAAAACATTCTGGAATCATACAGTGGTAATGATTTTTGTGAACACACTAAAAAACTATTCAATACTGAATTTATGGTATGTGAATTACACCTCATTTTAAAAACTAAACATAAATAGCTAATTTCCAACCCAGAAAAATAAAAGCAAAAAAGCTGAGAAATAAAGAAACATCTGGAGTATTTTACAGTCAGCAAAGTATCCCTTTATCAAAAAAAAAAAAAAAAAAAAACTCATGTTTACAATAGGGAGGAAAGACCTACAAAGCAAACAAATGCAGAGGTGCTTATGATACCTAACTTGGTTCACTATCTGAAAATGTCTCATTTTAAGTATTTATGTAGTTTTGGACACGTCCTCACAAATATCTCAGGACAACTCTAAAAACTTAAGTCTCCCAACAGTATCTTTCAATCATATAGTACATTCTATCACATATCACATCTTATCTTACTAAGACTGCTTCCCTATTAAACAGTTGGGGGGGGCCACAGGTGATGAGGAACTTAAATCCCTCTTTCCATTCTCCCTCAGCATCCTAATGCCACTTGAAGTTATATTTTAAAAATTACAATTCCTGGTCCATTTAAGGAACTCAACACTTAAGTGAAGACCTTGGTACAGAATTACTGTACCTAAGCCTCTTGACAGGAAAGACCTAATTCTCACTCAAATCAGGACACAACAGCAAAGTCACCCACTTTGGTAAACATTCTGGTTTACCTTTGGTTATAAACAAAGTTATAACGTCTGGCTCTTTCATCAGCCCAAAGAGACATCCAGATTCCTGCATACATCTTTACTCTTCATTCTCACTCATTCTCTGTGCAGGAAAGGAAAAGATGAAGAACACAAGAGGGAGATCCTTGGGAAAGGTGGGACTAGAATGTCACAGATGTCACAGTAGATTGTTAGAACCCCCTCACCCACGTCTGAGAGACAGCACCAAACCTCAAATAGTTAGGCCTCATGCTTACACTCACCACATAATCCATAACCTCTGACCATAAGACTCTTTTGTGACTTACAGACACCGATCACAAAACAATGAATATTACACTTCTTAGACCTATCAAATTTTTTTCACCTCCAATCCCCAACTCTGCTTTCTTAGCCACTTTACCAAGCCTCTAAAAGGCCTCTTTAAGAATCTCTACATCCCACTATGCCAATTGACACTCCCTTCACAAAGCTTAAGGAGGCCCTCCTTAGAGCACCTGCACTTACACTTCCTAATCCTACTACACCCTTTATTCTATACACTACAACAGATAAAGATAATTTGATGGGAGAATTGGGACACAGTAAAAGACCTCATTCCAGAATGTAGCCTACCTCTCAAAACAGCTAGACAGTACAGTTACAGGATGGCCTCCCTGCCTTCAGGCAACAGCAGCCACAGCCATCCTGACACAAGAAGCCAGAAAGGTCACTTTAGGACAGACAATCAGTCTACTCACTACAAAGTCTAGTCAATCTAATTTCTCACAAGACACTCCCGCTCTAATGATCCC